TTCGTTTTCCTTTTTTTTTAACTACCGTTAGACCAAATCAGTATATCATGGTAAACTTGGTCTATTCCAAGCAAAGTCTTTCATGCTTAGATCTAAGAATAAATGGTCTTAAACATCGAAAAGAGGCATTTTACTTATTGGTTTTAGTAAATGGGAAGTATTCAATTAAAACCAATTAAGAACTGAGAAAATAGTTTTAATTTTGGTAAAAAATAAATGTTATGGCCTGAGTCCTAAAAAGACAATAAATTGTACACTTGACATCTTCCGCTTGCCTTTCCTTGTAACATGAAGGGGATGCTACAACATAGAAACCCTTTGCTGTGAGTTGATGTAATTCAGGTCGAAGATGAATTAGATAGTTCATGAAACAAAGTTGTAAAAGGTGTTTGGCATACTTCAAAATTTGAAATATTTAGGGAAGGAAAAAATCTCGAGTTTCCGAAGTAATACGAAAGTATTGGACAGGTGAGTAAAGGAAAATAAATCAGCCAGCAAAATAAAAAAAAAAGAAAGAAAAAAGATAACTAAACTGAACGTTGTTTAATTTCTTCATATGTTCAAATAAATATCTAATTAATAAAGTAATGAAATTCACGGCGCAATATGAATCGGCAGCTGAAGCAGGAATTTTAGTGATAATGGGATTATCAGAGTATTCAGAAAAAAGTCTTTGAAAAAATAACCACCAGATTTATAAGATTTTGTAGCTGGTAATAACAATGATCAGTAATAACAAAATTAAATTTGTCTATCAATAGCACTAACAATTGAATAATCTTGTGGATCTTGTCATTGTTAAATGTCCTTATGGAACTATTCGTCATCGATTTCTTCTAAGAGACATTTAATTGTTTTGCAAGAGAAACAAAAATCGAGAATAAACATATAAAGTATGATAAAAAGTGTTTTGTTAATGAAGTACTTTTAAGTGTACATTCTCTCTCTATTCTTGGCCTAAATGTCCATCCTACTTCAATCTTTAATTGAAACTTTTTTAACACAATAGTATGCTCTCAGTTTATGGTTAGTAGAAAAGTTCAAATGGATCATGCAGAGAACAATCCTAACTGATGGCTTTCCTTCTTAACCAATTCATGAGGTGTGGGAGTAATTAGCAGAGAGAAAGTAATCAAGTCATTGTTTATACAACTATTCACATCAATCACATAATCACTTCGATAACGCGACCCAAAGTTTTCACCAACTCCTATTAGGAGTGATCAATCATAAAACGATTTGCACTGCATGTGCTTACATGAGACAAGGGTTTTCATACTAACATAGTCTATGAAACAATTGTGATGTCGCAAGAATGAGGGTAGATTGGTGTGGTTTTTATTGAGATATCTTTGATTGGGTCATCTCTCATGACCTTTCAAGAGAGACTTAACTGAGATAGCGAAATACCATATAATGGAATTGGAAAAATAGAACTACTGAATATACGATGAAAATAAATGGAATAATTAGTAAGTTGAGCTAAATTGTACTGGAATCATTTATTATCTTTTTCTTTCCTGAGTGACGCTCTCTTGAAATTATTGTCATTCTTGGCTACACCAACGCTACAGCAACTTGTCATATTTGTGTCGGGACATAGACGAGGCAATTATTTGCCCAACGAATTGGTGGATTGTAATTTCCAGTACTTCAGGTCTTAATTATGGCGAGTATACCACCAGCAGATAGTAAGCCTCATTATCTAATTTCATTTTACTCCAGTAATGAAAAGTAAGTCATGATTCTTATATGATATTTTGTTATCTGCTCATCTGAAATGGTATTTCACGTCCTCTCCATGTTTATATGCACCCGCTATGGCTCGAATCGTAAATAACATTTATAAATTTCCGGAAAGTGAGGAATGCTTCCAACCTTGTATGTTTATGAGTCTTCTTTTTTTCTTCACGGAATTCATGTTTTGCAGTTATCGCGATATTCCAAGCCATACTTTATCTGTACCGAATGATATAACAGTGGATAAATTAAATGTTCTTGCAAATAAGACTTTGAATGATTTATCCGGTTAGTATTGACAATTTACGTTGAAATTAGACTTCTTAATGGTAATTTTTTCTTCTTTTTCTCCTTCTGCATTCTTAAACTTGAAAATTGCATTGAAATGTCTTGGAATTCGTCTGTTATCAAAATTCATGGAAGTGCCAGTCACTATTTGATGATGATAAATGTAATTCTCATATCGTATCACACCTCATTAAGCCGTATATCCATCCTAGAACACTGGAAAGTTTTTTTTTTTTTTGTTTGCAACAAAGGTACGCAATCAGTAGATGATTGAATGATGAAAAATAAAACCGTTAAAAGTTCAGAAAATGTTTATATTCAATTCATTTCAGCTGGTAGGTATGTGGTTAACGAGGGTTTGCAGCATTTCCTTATACTTTTCCTATTACGTTACGTTCTTATTAATCTGCAAATGTTTTTGAAGGTAAGGAGCTCGGACTAGTTGTTTTCGATTTTCTCATATCATCTACGATTTTGCGGACGACATTAGAGGAATTCGTTCAAGAAAACCATGTCCCAGTTGTAAGTTTCTAAATTCTAAAACTCAGAAAATGTTTATGTTCAATTTATTTCAGCCGTTGACGAATTAATAGCAAACTGCTTTGAGAATATTACGAATTGATAGCAAACTGCTTTGAGAATATTCAGTCAATTAATTTTGAGATGCTTTATTTCTGGTATTGTAATGAGAACTGCTTTTCAGGAATCAGTTATCAGTATTGAGTGTATTGTTCAGGAACCAGCACCAGAACCCGATTCTGATGTTACCTTGCCTGATTGGATTGGCGCAGTTAGGTGCAACGACAACTTGTAGGCTTTCTATGTATTGTACTAATTGATTTGATATAAATTTTCGATAATTTTCAGTTCTGAAAACTCATTCGTCAGATAGTCTTGTAGCAGTGATTTAAATTAACAATGCAATCAAATATGATGAAAGGCTGCTGCATTGAACATAGACCTACCTTTTATCGATTAATCCATCAACTATTCCAGCAT